CGGGGATGGCGGGCACTGCCCTGCACAGGGCACCCCGGCCGCGGGCTTGGGACCCCCCGGCTTTAGGGGTCCCTAATAGCACCTGGAGGAGAGTCCCTGCCCCATTCTGGGGTTCCCTCCGCTTTGGGGTCCCTTGCTTGGCACCCCAGGTAAGCAGATGGGAATGCCCCCATTTTGGAAGGGTCCCTCATGGCACCCCTCAGCTTTGGGGTACCTACGGCACACGGTGCGGCCGGGTGAAACCCCCTTTGGCTTTGGGGTCCCCCTCATGGCGCCCAGAGGGAGCAGAGGGGGAGCCCCTTTCCCTCAGGGGGGTCTCACGGGAGAAGATGGCACCTGGTGGGAGATGGGCTCCCCTCGGTTCGGGAGGAGCCCAGGGTGAGAGAGCTCCCCCGACACCGGGAGTGAGGGATCAGACCTCACGCTTGCTCTGGGTCCCATGGCAGGAGCTTTGGGCTCGGTCCCTGCCCCTTTTGTCCCTCCCAGGGGTCCCCAAGCTGAGGTGGGGGTGACCCTCAGCTGGGTCCCCACCCTGGGAATCGGTTTGTGCAGTTCTTGCTGGGAATTCCTGGGGTGGAGGGGGAGTCTCCCCTTTCCTTGTACCCCACCCAAGCAGGCTGTTCCTGGTGATTCCCACACCAAATTCCCCCACAGGAGGGGCTGGGCAGGGGCACTCTGTACCAGGCTGGTTCTTACTGGGCAGCACTGGTGGGGCTGGGCAGGGGCACTCTGTGCCAGGCTGGTTCTTACTGGGCAGCACTGGTGTGGTGTGTCCCCAGATGGGCGCCAGGAGCGGGTCATGTTCGACAAGATCACGTCGCGCATCCAGAAGCTCTGCTACGGCCTCAACGCCGACTTCGTGGATCCCGTGAGTCCCACCCTGCCCTGGCCCCGACTTCTCCTGGGCAAAAGCCCTGTGGAAACCCAGGCAGGAATTCCCGGGGTGTCCTGGGCTGGATTTGAGGGTTCCTGTTCCCACTCAGGACGGTCTGTGATTCCGTGAACTCTTGGCAAACACATCCAGAACGTGTTTGTTGGAATTGTGTTCTGAGGGGTTTTGCTTCCCAGCTGCAGAGACCCTGGAGGGGAAAATCCCCTTTCCCTGCCGTAGATCCTTTTCCTCTCAAACCTTGTGGAAACTTTTTTTTTTTTTTAAATAAAGAGTTTTGTTGCTCCAGTTCCCATATTTTGGATTTGGTGGGCTGCTCCCAGCATCAGTCTGCAAAGCTGGAGCAATGCCCCATGGAAGTAGCTCTGGATCCCGTCCTGGTCAAACCAGGACAGCATTCCCTGCCAGTGCCACATCCCTGCTTGTTTTTCTGAGCTGATTTGGGGTGGACATTGATCCCACTCAGGGAAGCTTCTCCTTCCAAAGCCTGTGTCCAGGATGACTCCCTGTTGGATCCACTGATGTCTGTGAGATTTCTGTGCAGGACTCAGACCCAGCATGGCCATTTGCAGTCACCAGTTAAGGCTCTTCCCATCTCCCAGGTTCTCATGATCCATTCTCTGAAATTCCACCTGTCAAACAGTTGCCATTGGTCCTGTACCCAGCAGTCTTTGGGATGGACAGCAGGAGGAGGAGGACACTGCTGACCACAGCACGAAGTGTCCTGACTTGTCCCCAGTGACTGGGAGTTGGTGCTGAGGACAGAAGTGAAATTCTGAGTCCTTGTGCCCCTGAATTGTTATTTATTCTGCAGTCGTGTGTGACCTCTTTCCCTGGAGTTCAGTTTCTCCTTTGGGACTTGGATCTGCCTGTGCCAGAAGCTTCCCAGGCCAGCAGTGACCCTCCCACACCTGTGCCAGTGCTCCCAGGGAGGCTGGAAATCTCACCAGTTGTGCAAAGGTTCCCTAGAGACTGGTCATTCCTATTGCCTGGAAACCATCCTTACACAGAATCCCAGAAGGGTTTGGGTTGGAATGGGCTTTCAAGCCCACCCATTCCCAGCTCTGCCATGGCAGGGACACCTCCCACTGTCCCAAGAGCTCCCAATGTCCAGCCTGGCCTTGGGCACTGCCAGGGATCCAGGGGCAGCCCCAGCTGCTCTGGCAATTCCATCCCAGCCCCTGCCCACCCTGCCAGTGAACAATTCCTGCCCAAGATCCCAAGATCCAGCCCTGCCCTCTGCCCCTGGCAGCCATTCCCTGGCTCCTGGCCCTGCAGCCCTTGGCCCCAGTCCCTGTCCTGGAGCGTTCCCAGCTCCCCCAGCCCGCTGTTCCCGTTTGCTTTCCCTGTCCTGGAGCGTTCCCAGCTCCCCCAGCCCGCTGTTCCCGTTTGCTTTCCCTGTCCCACGCGGTGCTGCAGGCGCTGGGATCCACCCGGGGCTCCCTGACCTCGGGCATTTCCCTCCTGCAGGCCCAGATCACCATGAAGGTGATCCAGGGGCTGTACAGCGGGGTCACCACGGTGGAGCTGGACACTCTGGCCGCAGAGACCGCGGCCACGCTGACCACCAAGCACCCCGACTACGCCATCCTGGCCGCCCGCATCGCCGTCTCCAACCTGCACAAGGAGACCAAGAAAGTCTTCAGTGGTGGGTGAACGTCTCCAGCTGCTGGGGGGAGAGACAGAGTGGGAGGTTTGGAGCACAGAAATATGGAAATCTCGCAGGTGGGAGTTCCTGAGGGCCCAGGCTGGCAGAAAATGCCATGGAGATGAACCCCACGAGTTCCCAAGGCAAATGGAATTGCCTGGTTTATGAAAAGCAGTTGTAGAAATGGAATGGTAAAAAATGCAATGGATTGAGGTTAGGTTGTGCCCACTTTCCTCTTCATTTGTCACTTTTTACAGTGGGGTTTTGGCAGCATTTGTAAGAGCTGTGTGTTGCTCAGCTGACACTGTGAGCAGAGGAGCAGTTGTGTGTTTGAGGGGCTGGAGGGGGTTATTCCCGAGGGTGGGCATTCCTGCCTTGCCCATCCCTCAATCCCAGGGACAGGGACAGGCCTGGACGTGTCCTGCTCACATCCCTCTCCCTTGCAGATGTGATGGAAGATCTCTACACCTACATCAACCCTCACAACGGGAAGCACTCCCCAATGATCTCCAAGGAGACTCTAGACATAGTTCTGGCCAACAAAGATGTAAGTACTGGGGTTTTTTTCACTTCTGAACTATTGCACTCCATCTTGAAGACTTCAATAAAGTTTGCTTTTCTTATTTTTTTAGCAAACCATCTTTGTTTTAGGGTAAAAAGCCAACACAGAAACCAGTGCAGGGAATGAGTGGAGAGTGTAAGAGGAGATGTAGGAGTTTTCTTCCTCTGTGGATGTTTTTGTAGTAAAATTTGTTTTCGTGGATGTTCCCATTGCCATGATCAGCACAAGCAATTAATTTGAGAAGAAGTACCTTGTGCTGGAGCGAAGTGAGGCAGCACAGGAGGGAGAGAAGAGATTTGGGTTCAGTTTCCAGGTCATTCCAGGTCTGTGTTCTGGCCAGGAGGTTCCTTTCGTCCTTTGGTTCTGTGTTTTGTTTGTTCTTGTCCGATCAGATTTCAGTAAGTTCAGCCAAAAACTGTGTGAGAAAAGGTTGTTGAAGCTGAGGGAAGTGCTGTTCCCTCTTCATTGCTGTGCTGGGGTGCCCCTCACACCCCAGAGCTTTGGGGCCAGGAATGCCAGCAGGGATAACATTGTTACACCTTGTAAAAGTCACTTTTGGTATTTCCTGCCAGCGCCTGAACTCTGCCATCATCTACGACAGAGACTTCTCCTACAACTACTTTGGCTTCAAGGTAAAGAGCACGTTGCTCCTGGCTCTGTTGGGAAGGGTCGGAATGCTTTGGAATCGTCTGGGCTGGGGCACAGGAGGAGGTGGCACATCAGAGGGGCTGTGAAGATGAAGGGACCTGCATGAAGCAGCTGCCCAGTGGGATAAATCATGGAGTTTCCTTGCTGCTGGAATATTCTAGCAGTTGGGCTTGGCTTCCAGCACATCACACTGAGTGCTGCTGGATGCCATTCCTAAAGGAAATACTCTGGTAAGCCCAAGGAGGGATTTTTGCTTTTCCCCTTGCTCAGGGGCAGCTCTCAGTGTGTCCTCCACACGTTGATGCTGGAACAGCTCCCCCAGCAGCCCAGGGGCTGCTCTGCTGCCCTCACTCCCAGCTCAGCTGTGCTTGGGCTCTGACTGGGGCTCAGGGTCTGGAGGGATCCAGAGAGCTCCTGCCCGTGCTCCACTCTCTGTAATCCAAAGCACTGTTGGAATCTTCCAGTGGACTTGTGTAGTTTCAGTCATTAATCACCTAATTAAGCTAATGAAGAGAGGAGCAGCAGCAGCATGCAAGGGTGGTGAGGCCTGGGACAAGGGGTGTGGAGGTGACTGAGTTTGGAGTTAACAAATTCAAACCTGGAGTTAAAAATTCAAACCTTCCAGTCTGCTAAAATCCATCCTCTCTTTTAAAGACTCTGGAACGCTCCTACTTGCTGAAAATCAACTCCAAAGGTAAGGGCTGGTCCTAGTGCTGAGCACTTCTTGAAAAATTGGAGTTAATTTAAATTAAATTGAAGCTGAGATTAGGTACTGTGCTGTCAGTGATGCAGGCCCTTGGCTTGGATATCCTGGGACACCAGAAGGGTCAGAGATAATTTATAATATCATAAAGCAGAAACATAATTAGATTCTGGAGTGCATATTTGATTGGATTTAACTGTTAATCCAGGTGGGGTTTTTCCCTCCTCCATGAGAGCAGTTGAGCACTGGAGCAGATTTTTCTTTGAGTTTTTCAAAGCCTGATGAGATGAAGTCCTGGATAACCAGGCCTGGTGCTCTTCTCAAGCAAGAGTTGGGCTGGAGAGCTCAAGTTCCTTCCAACCCCAATCACTCTGGGATTCGTTGTAAACTCTGGCTCCCAAGTGTCCCACTGCAGCATTTGGAGCTTCCTGCTGTGACCTCTGTGACTGGCACATGGAGTCTCCTTGTGCCTTGGCATCCCAAAATCCTCCTGCCCTGGGCTGAGCCCCAGCCTGGGCAGCAGGAAAGGGATTGGGATTGTGCCCTGAGCCCCCTGAGGTGAGACCCCACCTGCAGAGCTGCCCCAGCCCTGGGGCCCAGCCCAGGGAGCTGCTGGAGCTGCTGGAGAGAGCCCAGAGGAGGCTCCAGGATGAGCAGAGGGATGGAGCAGCTCTGCTGGCAGCAAAGGCTGGCACAGCTGCCATTGTTCAGCCTGGCCAGGAGAAGCTTTGGGCTGAGCTCAGGGTGGCCTTGCAGGGCCTGAAGGAGCCCCAGGAAAGCTGGAGAGAGACAATTGCCAAGGGCTGCAGGGGCAGGAGCCAGGGAATGGCTGCCAGGGGCAGAGGGCAGGGCTGGATCTTGGGATCTTGGGCAGGAATTGTTCCCTGGCAGGGTGGGCAGGGGCTGGGATGGAATTGCCAGAGCAGCTGGGGCTGCCCCTGGATCCCTGGCAGTGCCCAAGGCCAGGCTGGACATTGGGAGCTCCTGGGACAGTGGGAGGTGTCCCTGCCATGGCTGGGGTGGCACTGGGTGGGCTCTGAGGCCCTTCCCAAGCTGCCCCGTGGAACTGCCTGCTCTGTGTCCCTGCAGTTGCTGAACGCCCCCAGCACATGCTGATGAGGGTGTCTGTGGGCATCCACAAGGCCGACATCGACGCTGCCATCGAGACCTACAACCTGCTCTCGGAGCGCTGGTTCACCCACGCCTCGCCCACGCTCTTCAACGCGGGCACCAACCGCCCCCAGCTCTCCAGGTGCTCTCCCTCTCTCTCCTGCACCCTGGGCACCCACATCGCTCAGGGATCAATCACATCTGCTCAGCTGAGACGCTTGCACGGCCTCTGAGACAAGCAGCTGAGTTTCTGTCTGTGGTGATGATGTTTAGAGCAGCTGCTGTCACGTTAGAGCTGTACTGGGGAAAAGTGCCCAGGTTTCTGTAAACTCTAGAGATAATGGAAACCTTTGCATGGCTCTGTTATATTGGAAAGCTCCTGATGTGCATGGCCTGCTGCAAGTTAGCAGGTGACTCCTGGTAATTGTTCTCTAAAAGCAGCAACTGTAACTGATAGGTTTTTGATACTATATGTATCAGGAAAAGGATTATATTTTATAAAGATTTGTATCAATGTATTGGGAAAAGGCTCTTCTTTCCCCACAGGCTGCTGGCACTGCCCAGGCTCCCCAGGGAATGGGCACGGCCCCGAGGCTGCCAGAGCTCCAGGAGCATCCAGGGATGCCCAGGCTGGGCTTGTTGGGGCGTCTGGGCAGGGCAGGGGGGCACTGGCTGATCCTGGGGGTCCCTCCAGCTCAGGACATTCTGGGATTCTGTGATTAAAAATGTTTGATAGCAGAGGTGTCAGCAGTACAAGTACTGCTCCTGATGTTTTCTGTTTTGTCCTTTATTCCACACCGGTGGGATTGCTTTGTGAGCACGCCAAAGGTCCCATGTTTGCCCTGGGTTTTGCAGCCTGGTGAAACACAACTTTTCCTTTGTCCACTGAAACCATTTGTTTCCTCCAGCTGCTTCCTGCTGTGCATGAAGGACGACAGCATCGAAGGCATCTACGACACCCTGAAGCAGTGTGCCCTCATCTCCAAGTCTGCTGGGGGCATTGGCCTGGCCGTGAGCTGCATCCGTGCCACGGGCAGCTACATTGCTGGGGTGAGTGCCCAGCACAGGGACCCTGCTGCTCCCAGGAAATGCCCTCACACTGCTGCCAGTCTCAGTTCACAGCACTGAGCCTCCCTCACTAGTCCCTTGGCCTAAGGCAGGAAGGTTGGTTTTCCTCGGTGTTTTGGCTTCCTAATAGAAACCCTTCCTAAAAGAGGATCTCATTATTCCACTGTTTGGTCAGACAATTCCAGTGTTTATCTATTAACAGCCCAGGGACTTGTGCCGTGGCCCTTTGCCTTTCTGTGTCTCTAACTGCCCCAGACTGTGTGTGGATGTGTGTTTGGGGTTTCTTGTCACAGTGTGTGTCAACCCAGCAAGCCTTTAGGTGGAAAGAGGTTAGGAGAGCCATTTATTAACTCTGGGATGTGTAGCTGATATACAGGTTTTTGTCAGAAAAGGAGTGGGGAAGGGACTAGAAGCAATTGGTGGTGATCAGTATTAGAGCTCTGCAGACTGAGGAGAGACCCACAGGAAATGCAGGGAGCTGCTTTGACTGATGTTTCTCCTGTGCCTCTGCAGACAAACGGGAATTCCAACGGGCTCGTTCCCATGCTGAGGGTGTACAACAACACCGCCCGCTACGTGGATCAAGGTGGAAACAAGGTACCTTAACCCAGGCTGCAGAGGGGAGCCTGGGCTGATGGGGGGGCTTCCACACTGGGAAGGGTTGTGCCATCAACATCAGGCAGCTGATGCAGTGGTTGTGGGTGACACATAATCATGAAAGGGCATTTTTCCCCTTGTGTTGGTCCCTGGTGTTGCCCCCACAGTTCCCAGCTCGTTTGGGGTGTAGTGGGCACTCAGGAGCAGGGCAGGAGGTTTCTCTCCAAGGACGGTTTGTTCTGATCTGGACTGTGTTCCGTGTCCCAGAGACCCGGGGCTTTTGCCATCTACCTGGAGCCGTGGCACTTGGACATCTTTGAGTTCCTGGACTTGAAGAAGAACACTGGGAAAGAAGAGCAGCGAGCCAGGGACCTGTTCTTTGCGCTCTGGATCCCTGATCTCTTCATGAAGCGAGTGGAAACCAATCAGGTGAGAACTTGGCTGGCACAGAAATGGCCTGGGAGTGGAGGAGCAGCCCTGCAAGGAGCTCAGGAAGGGCTGCAGAGCTGCTTTGCTCCTTGTCCCTTCCAGGACCTTCCTGGAAGAGCTGCTGCACCTTGTTTGAGAACTTGGCTGTGCAGGTGGAGAGTGGAGCTGGACAACTCCAGCTCAGTGTTTTGCTCCAGGGCTTAATCTTACAGCCCATGACTTGTTCTTGGACTGTTGGGCTATTTTGACTCTGGGGTTTCCTTAAAGCACCAACATTTTCTCAGTAAATTGTTCTTCTTGTGCCTGCTTGTATTTCACAGAATCCCAGACTGGTCTGGCTTGGGAGGGACCTTAAAACTCCCCCATTCCTACCCCAGCCATGGCAGGGACAGCTCCCACTGTCCCAGGAGCTCCCAATGTCCAGCCTGGCCTTGGGCACTGCCAGGGATCCAGGGACAGCCCCAGCTTTAATTAACAGAGTGCCTAAAGATTTCCTGGGAATATTTTTCCCCCTTACAGGACTGGTCCTTAATGTGCCCGAATGAGTGTCCTGGCCTGGATGATGTCTGGGGAGAGGAATTTGAGAAGCTCTATGAGAGGTAGGAAGAGTGAGCAGACCTGTGAGTGGTGCCATGCTCTCCCAGAGCTGCCTGTGTCCCGTGGGATCCGGGGCTGTGGCACAGGTAGAGGTGGCCACTGGGCTCCCTGTCTGATACAATGTGAGGATGGGGATGTGTCCTTCACACTGTGAGCTGTCAGGGTGGAGCTGTGTGTGAATGACATTTGAGATGTTGGAGGGACAGTGTCCCTGCTGGAGGGATATCCTGGAGCGCTCTGTGGAATTGCTGTTCCTGCTGTGGTGGAAGATTTGTGTCCCTTCCACAAGGGCAGTGCTGCTGCCCTGCTGTGAGGGCTCCCTGTGCAGAGCTGAGCTCTGGGCCTTGGTGCCCCAGAGCCCGAGGGGTTGAAAGGGCTGTCCCTGCTCCTGGGGGCTCTGGGCTGACGGGGCTCTGTGTGTGTTGCAGCTACGAGCGGCAGGGCCGCGTGCGCAGGGTGGTGAAGGCCCAGCAGCTCTGGTACGCCATCATCGAGTCCCAGACCGAGACTGGCACCCCCTACATGCTCTACAAGGACTCCTGCAACAGGAAGAGCAACCAGCAGAACCTGGGCACCATCAAGTGCAGCAACCTGTGCACCGAGATCGTGGAGTACACCAGCAAGGAGGAGGTGGGTGCACAACGGGAGCTCGGAGCCTCGGGGAGCCTGGCAGTGCTCCTTTGGCAGCGCTCTGGGATGTGTCTGGATGCTGCCTGGGGAAGGGAACAGGCAGCTGAGAAACCCCTGACCTGAGTACTCACAGCTCTTCCACTGACTGTGGATTCCCTTCCCACTCCTGGGGAGGATTTGGGATGACACAAGACATCCTTCAGAGGGAAAGCGACAAAGAACAAATCCTCCTTGGAAATTCCTTCCAACGCAGACCCCTCTGGGATTCTGTGTGAGGATGGTTTCCAGGCAGTAGGACTGACCAGGGCAGGATTTTTCCAATTTCTACTGGACTATCCTGAATGGTCGTTACTTTTTGCACAACTTGTGACGTGTCAGAGGACAGAGGGGTGTGCTTTGCCAGCCTGGCAGGTTCCCTGGCAGGTTGTTTCCGTGTAGTTTGGGGCAGAGCTGGGTGTTCTTGGCCCGTTCCCAGCCGGTGTCTGCCCACAGGTGGCCGTGTGTAACCTGGCCTCCATCGCCCTGAACATGTACGTGACCCCCGAGCACACCTACGACTTCAGGAAGCTGGCTGAGGTCACCAAGGTCATCGTCCGAAACCTCAACAAAATCATTGATATCAACTACTACCCTGTGCCAGAGGTGAGTGCTGAATCCTGCCCACAGCAATCCCAGAGCAGGCTGGGACACAAGGAATCACAGGAGAACTCCACAGACCTGTTGGGAGCCTCCTGAACCACCTGTTCCCAGGTGGGACCTGTCAGTGCCTGCCTCAGCTTCAACCCAGAGCACTCCTGCAGTGAAGCACTTGTGGGAAAGCTTCCCACTCTGGTTCTGCCATGGGAGTTTTTTCACGTGCAAGGATTTCCATGAAGCACTGACCAGCAGTGGGAACAGAGTGGGAAGTGGAATAGGGAGAAGGATTCTGGAAAGAGCCTGAGAAAGTGTAACTCATTTTGGTTGGTTTTACAACTCCCTGAGAAGTGGGGGGCAGCCAGGTGGGGATCAGGCTCTGCTCCCAGAGATGAGGGGAAAGGACGTGAGGAAATGGCCTCAACCTGTGCCAGGGGAGGTTAAGGTGAACATTAGGAAAGAGTTCTTACTGGAAGGAGCTGTCCAGGCCTGGCACAGACTGCCCAGGGCAGCGGTGAAGTCCCCATCCCTGGAGGGGATTTAATATCCATGTGGATGTGGCACCTGGGAACATGGTGGCCTTGCCACTGCTGGGGAACAGTGGGACTTGGTGGGCTCAGAGGGGTTCCAACCTCATGATCCTGTGATTCTGCTCTGTTAAATGTCTTCATTTATCAGAACGTGCTGAGTGCTCACTTCTAAATCCTGGCTCCCTTTGGGTTAAACAATCACAGTCCATGCTGAGGTCAAACAAACTCAGCCTGGCCTCAGCAGACGGTGTCAGGGTGTGTGGTGTGTGGATGCAGAGCTCATGGCACGCTGCAGCAGGAGGTTCTGCTCCCAGAGCCCCATCCCAGCCGTGCCGAGCTGACCCCAGTCTGTCCCCGCAGGCCGAGCGCTCCAACCGCCGGCACCGCCCCATCGGCATCGGCGTGCAGGGCCTGGCTGACGCCTTCATCCTCATGAGGTTCCCCTTCGAGAGCGCCGAGGCACAGCGCCTCAACCAGCACATCTTCGAGACCATTTACTACGGGGCCCTGGAGGCCAGCTGTGAGCTGGCCAGGGAGCACGGCCCCTACGACACCTACGAGGGCTCTCCGGTCAGCAAGGGGGTGAGTGCCAGGGACAGGCACAGGGAAAAGCTCTGGAGAGCTGATCTGTGCCTGGGCTGCTGCAGAGACCTGCAGGGACCCGGTTCATGGCCAGGGGAGCTGAGTCAGCCGTGCCCTGGAGGCAGGAGGGACATCCCTGTGTGGGGACACCGGGGCCACCAGCACCGGCCAGAGGGGAGGGACTGTCCAGCTCTGGGCTGGGGCAGCCTCACCTCCAGTGCTGGGGACAGCTCTGGGGGGCTCCAGAAAAGATCAGAAGCTGTTGGAAAGTGTCCAAAGGAGGGAGCCGGGGATGGGGAAGGGTCTGGAGGGGCTCCACGAGGTGACTGGGTCAGTTCAGCCTGGAGGAGCCTGAGGTCAGAGCTCCCCGGGGCTGCAGCTCCTCCCGAGGGGCAGCGCAGGGACAGCTCCGGGCTCTGCTCCTGCCACAGGGACAGCAGCAGGGAGCGGCTGCAGCTGGCCCAGCAGGGATTTAGGTTGGCTTTTAGGGCAAGGCTCTTCTTTCCCCACAGGCTGCTGCCACTGCCCAGGCTCCCCAGGGAATGGGCACGGCCCCGAGGCTGCCAGAGCTCCAGGAGCATCCAGGGATGCCCAGGCTGGGCTTGTTGGGGGGTCTGGGCAGGGCAGGGGGGCACGGGGGGATCCCTGGGGGTTCACTCCAGCTCAGGATATTCTGGGATTCTCTGATTGGAAAAGACAAGCAGCCTGTGCTGGCCGTGCCCTGGAGCAGTCACAAGATGGAGTGTTTGCTAGGTCATACTGGAGCTTCACTGAGATCTAATTTGAGAGAAGAATTAAGAGAAATAACAGGTCCATTTCCAATGGGATTTATAAAACATGGAGGAAAGAGTGCCCTCTGTGATCTGGACCAAACTGTGTTCCTCAGATCCTGCAGTATGACATGTGGAATGTCACCCCCTCTGACCTTTGGGACTGGAAGGCTTTGAAGGAGAAGATTGCCAAGTGAGTAACCCTGTGCAGTTTGTGGGAGATGTCAGATGAAACCCAGACTGGGTTGGGAGGGACCTCAGAGCCCACCCAGTGTCCCCCTGCCATGGCAGGGACACCTCCCACTGTCCCAGCTGCTCCCAGCCCCAGTGTCCAGCCTGGTTTTCATATGAGTCTGGTGTGTTCTGTCTGCTAAAGGCAGGGTCCAAGTGTGACAACAGCCCCCACCAGCAGATCTTTCCTCTGAGCTGTTTTTTGGGTGGCTTTCTCTCATTTTTGTCCTTCCAAGGCTGAGGAGCCCACCCTCACTGCTCTGCCTTAGCTGCCCTCTAATTCCATTTTGGATGCATCCAGCAGGAAGATTTGTGTTCCCATTAAATGAGTAGTGAGGAATGAGCCATGAGCTGGCCCTGGGGGCTCTTCCCTGCTGCCAGGGAGAAGCTGAGCCTTGAACATCCTGAAGACAGGAATCACTGAGGTGTGGAGTGCCTGGCAGGGTCCAATGCTGTCTTTTTTTGCTCCAATTTTTAAATGTGGTAAATCTGTCTCCTGTCCTGTGTGTGGAGAAGTTTCAGCCTCTTTGTGGGCTGCTGGTTCAGCTCTGCCTCAGGGCTGTGGATTGTGCAGTGCCTGGCAGATTGTCTCTCCTACCCCCCATGCCATGACTGAATCATTTGGGAAAGCCTCTGATGAAGGATGGGAAGAGCAAAGCCCCTGATTCCACCTCCCCTTGAGCCACAGTGCCACTTCAGTGGTGCTTCCCTTTCCCTGGGAGCCGTGTGAGGCTTTGCAGGTTTCCCACTGCTCTTTCCTGTCCTGCCTCCCTAACCTGGCGTGTTGTCCCCAGGTACGGTGTCAGGAACAGCCTCCTCATTTCCCCCATGCCAACAGCCTCCACTGCCCAGATCCTGGGCAACAACGAGTCCATCGAGCCCTACACCAGCAACATCTACACACGCAGGGTGCTCTCGGGGGAGTTCCAGGTGAGCTCTGGGGACAGCTGTGCCATTTCCTGCCCTTTGTGACTGAGGAAGACAAGGGGAGCCCTGACACCTGGGGGCTCAGTTCAGCTGGGTGTTTGTGTCCAGGCTCCAAGGGGAGCACTGGGTGCTGCAGGAGTGCAGCTCCGTGTGTTCCACAGTCACCGTGGGATTGGTGAAATCAAACAAGTGCTGCTTTTGTCTGGGAAGATCCTTCGTGGGGGCTCGAGTGGGCTGCAGGAATAACTGCTGAGGGGGTTGGTGATGTGATGGAAGGGACATGGGAAGAGTTGAGGCCATGGTCTTGAGAACAAAGCACTCAGGGGTCTGGAGGGGCCAGGGAAGAGCTCCACAGGCTCCAAGGGGTTGGTCACATAGGAAAGGGAGTGAAACAAGTTCTGGAGGCTGCAGTGAGCAAAGACCCCTCTGGACACAAGGGGAGGCTGTCCCTGTTTGTTTGGGAGGTGTGTCCATCCCCTCTGGGGTGTCCCAGTGCTCTCCATTCCTCCTGGCTGCAGGGTCACCCCAGACAGGAGGATCACTGCCCTGCCTCCCTGTGCAGGGCTGGGGACAGGGACCCCAGTCCCAGCTGGCAAAGGTGGCTGTGTTTTCTTCCCAGTTCTCAGCCTGCCCCTGCTCTGTTCTTTCCCCTCCTGACATCAGTCTTGATTGTTTACACCCTTGGTTAGGAACTCGGGTTGTGGCCAGTGCCCCTGAAACAGCAAGATCTCTCCTTTTCCCATCTCTTGGAGTTCCTCATGCAGGGCAGTTCCCTACAGCCCCCTTTCTAATTTGCCATGCCCAGCAGGATCCCAGGATGGTTTGGAGGAACCTTAAAGATGGTGTAGTGGCAGCTCCTGCCATGGGCAGGGACACCTTCCACTGTCCCAGGCTGCTCCCAGCCCCATCCAGCCTGGGACACTTCCAGGGGACAGTCTGTCAGGAATGAGCAGGATCTTGTTCAACCATTTAAAACCCTTTGGCTTCTCCCCCTCCCAGGTTGTGAATCCCCACCTGCTGAAGGATCTCACGGAGAGGGGCCTGTGGAACGAGGAGATGAAGAACCAGATCATCGCCCACAACGGCTCCATCCAGGTACAGGGGGAGCAGGGCAGGGACTCCTGCCAGGCAGGTCCTGCTCCCTCGGGAGCCCCACTTTTCAGGAAGGTGGTAAAGGGGTGATTAGGTAACATCCTGAGCTGGAAGGGACCCATCCAGTGCCCCCCTGCCCTGCCCAGACCCCCCAGCAAGCTCAGCCTGGGCATCCCTGGATGCTGCTGGAGCTCTGGCAGCCTCGGGGCCGTGCCCGTTCCCTGGGGAGCCTGGGCAGTGCCAGCAGCCTGTGGGGAAAGAAGAGCCTTGCCCTGATCTCCAGTACATGGATTCATGTAACTGCTATGGGGGAGCAGAGGGTGTTTGCAGACACAGGATGTCCAGAGGAGGCCACCAAGTTATCAGAGGGATGGAGCACCTCTCCTGGAAGGCTGAGAGATTTGGGATTGTTCAGCCTGGAGAAGAGAAGACCTCATTTTGGCCTTCCAGGACCTAAAGGAGCCCCAGGAAACATGGAGAGAGACCATTCCCAAAGGATGCAGGGCCAGGAGCCAGGGAATGGCTGCCAGGGGCAGAGGGCAGGGCTGCATCTTGGGATCTTGGGCAGGAATTGTTCCCTGGCAGGGTGGGCAGGGGCTGGGATGGAATTGCCAGAGCAGCTGGGGCTGCCCCTGGATCCCTGGCAGTGCCCAAGGCCAGGCTGGACATTGGGAGCACCTGGGACAGTGGGAGGTGGCCCTGCCATGGATGGGGGGGATGAGGTGAACTTTAAGCTCCCTCCCAATTCAAACCAGTCTGGGATTCTGTGTTTGGATTCAGGGATAGAACTCAGGTGTGCAGGCCTCAGTTCCAGTCAGGATTGCTGGAGCCCTGGCAATCACTGAAGAATTCCATGTTCTAAATGGGGACATGTGGGCACTCAGTGCTTTCCTCACTGGAAAACTCCTCCTGTTCCTTCCAGAACATTCCTGAGATTCCAGATGACCTGAAGCAGCTCTACAAGACGGTGTGGGAGATCTCCCAGAAAACCATCCTGAAGATGGCTGCAGACAGAGGGGCCTTCATCGACCAGAGCCAGTCCCTGAACATCCACATCGCCGAGCCCAACTACGGGAAGCTCACCAGCATGCACTTCTACGGCTGGAAGCAGGTGTGGGCAGGGCTGCATCCCCCTGGCAGGGCTGCTTCCTCCTGGGGCAGGGCTGCATCCCCCTGGGGCAGGGCTGCATCCCCCTGGGGCAGGGCTGCATCCCCCTGGGGCAGGGCTATATCCTCCAGGGGCAGGGCTACATCCTCCTGGGGCAGGGCTACATCCTCCTGGGGCAGGGCTGCATCCTCCTGGGGCAGGGCTATATCCTCCTGGGGCAGGGCTACATCCTCCTGGGGCAGGGCTGCATCACCTGGGGCATCACCTGGGGCAGGGCTGCTTCCTCCTGGGGCAGGGCTGCTTCCTCCTGGGGCAGGGCTGCATCCCCCTGGGGCAGGGCTGCTTCCTCCTGGGGCATCACCTGGGGCAGGGGGTCCTTCCCCCCTGGGCATCACCTGGGGCAGCGGGTCCTTCCCCCCTGGGGCATCACCTGGGGCTGGGGGCTTGTTCCCAAAAACAAGAGCAGGAGCTGGGACTGGGGGGTTGTTCCCAGCAAATGGGGCCCAATAAGTTTGGCCCACGGGGACTGATAAGCTGTGGCACAGCAGCTTGGTGTCAGGGGTTCTGGGAAGGGCAGAGGGCTGTTTGCT